CCTGCGTGTGGTCTTTACAGCCAGTTGGAATGGCACGGCCTGAGGCCCCTACCAACCGCGCTTTAGTGGTGCTGGGGGCAGACTATCACAGGCTACCGCTTAGTCTTAGCTTATTTGTGGGTTTGGTGTTTTTTAAAGCACGTCACCCCTGGGCATGTGTCCCTGTTCCGCAGGACAAATGACTGAACATGCCACGAATCACAGTGCTGGGCAGCCGCAGCTCTTCCTCCCCACCAGCCACGCTGTGGGTGTCCTGGACCCCCGGCAGGGAGGAAATGAGAAGCCCTATGGTCACGTCAGTCCAACACTTCTGGCAGCAGTGCCGCTGGCCTCCTGGGAACTGGCAGGGAAGGCAACGAGCGAGCAAATGACAAGATCTACGAGCCTGGCCGGCTTGTTGGGCTGCTCCCAGCTTACGGGCCCCAGACCATGAGCATTTTCTGCATCTGCTACACCGGGTATCTCACCTTTCTCTTTTTGTATGAACAAGAAATAGGGGGAGGGAAAAACACTTGGAGCTTCATTTATTCCTGTATTGCAGAGGTGATAAACCGGGGTAGATGAAGCATAAGGCCAGGAAAGAACTCACCCCCCCTCCAACTTCCCCCCAACTCCCTTTTCTGATTAATCTATACATCACAATTTCATAGTCAGGAGTGATCTTAGAGATCCGTTTTCGTATCGAGTCAACATCTTTCTTCACTGTGTGTTTCTGACTTCTGTTTGCCATTAGACTTAAAAGTCCAGTTCTTACAACCCTTGTTGCCCAGGAGAATGCATGGAAACAGTCCTCCCTAAAAGCTACCAGAATCGCCTTCTCCCGTATAGTTCCAGAAAAGGGCCTTTGCTCAAAAAGCAGTGTCCTTGAAGGAATGGGCATCATTCCCTTAAAAGGAAGGACAGGAATTCTTAGCGGAAAACTTCTTGAATGGGATAATCCTCCAAAGAAAAAAATCCTAGCTGCTCATCATAACTGTCTTCATCGTTTGCTGTCCCGAAAACTATTTACTGGGCGTGTATTCTGTGTTCCGCATCGTGCGGGATATTATTTTTAAAAGATTGGTTGGCATGCATTCTCAACAAATGCCTTATATGATTCAAAAAAATAAAAATAAAAATAAATAAAATAAATAAAAAGAGAGTTACCTTTGACAATGAGGTGAAAGTCCATCACCTTTGTTTGCAGAGGTGAGCGTGCAAAACAGCTGTAGGTTCCGTTGTCGGATTTCTTGACTTTGGCGATTGACAGTTGGAGAGACTCGCTTGTCTGTTGGACTTGGTGACGGTTTTTCTCTAAGTTCAGGACTCTACTGTCTCTGTACCACGTCATTTGAGCCTGGGGGTTGGATTGCACATTGCAAACCAGCTTCGCAGCACTGCCTTCCTCAACTGTCTGGAAGTCGTTTCCACTTAGGAGGGGAGGAACTGCAAGACTCAAGCATTTAGGTTCAATTAGCAGATGAGCAGTAGTTTAAGGTCAGTGTTCAAGCTCTTCCTTCAGTCTAGCTCATGCAGTCGACCATTCATCTGACAAAAATTTATTGAGTGCCTACTGTGTGCCAAGCGCTGGGCTAGGAACCAGGGATACAATGGTAAATAACACACATCCCTTTCCAAACCAAATAGAACTTTTAATGTGGTGAAGAAGACAAACCATGAAGCAGATATATAATAATGAATCTGTACCAATTTATAAGGCTGCCCAAGAGTATAAGCCTTGAGTCTTGGCTCTCTGAGAATTAATATTATCAACCAATCCGTGCTAGTGTTGGATAAAACAGAATAACATTAAGAAAGGAGTCATCATAGTTGGTTCTAATTCCATGTACATCGCTTACCGTGACCTTGAGAAAGTTACTTTACTGCTAAGTAACTACTCAGTTTCCTCATCTAAAAAATGGGCTCACAGCTACCTCACGAATTGCTGTGAAGATTAAATGAGATAATGCCTGGAAAGAATTTACCACGGTGCTAGTTAGCAATATTATTACTGTGGTGGTAGTGGTTTTAGCGCTCCTCGAAACCTCTATTTTCACATTTTATCTAACCACATTGGCCTTGGCCACATATTTACCATGCATAATTGCATTTCCTCAATAATCCTCTAGAAGGAATGCCCTCCTCCCAGTTCCAGTTGTGGCAACTCTGGCATCTATGGCAGGTGAGCGTGACTTTCTGAGTCCCTTGCATCTGTCTGTGTGAGCAGATCCTTACTTCCTTCATGATGAGGACAATTGTAGACCCATAGATAGTCGAACACATTTATCTGCACCAAATAATCCGGCCCGTATCCCCACCAGGCCTTTCCAACATCTACGAGGAGAAATGGCTGAGTTGACTCTCCCCTCTTCTCTACGCCCTTTGCATTTTCTGGCCAAGGTGCAAACGAGTAAGAAAATGCTTGAAAAGTGAGCTGTAGGAAAGAGGTAAAGGCGGAGAAGGCGGGGAAAGGGAGCTTGTATAATCTGCACACTGAATAATTAGACCCTGAGTAGGCTGTGCTATTAATAACTCTCAGAAGAATGACATTTTGTTGCTCTTTGGAATGAGCTTGAATTCTGTAACCATATCCAACAAGGATGTTACATGTTATTCAGATATGTAGGAAGCTGTTAGAATATAGAACATAGTTGCCAAATATACCAGTTCCACCAGTTCCACAGGTCTTATTAGTTGTACCTTTTTATATAACTATTTAAAATTAATTTTAAGATTAACAACTACCCGTGAGTATTCTTTTTTTAAAAAAAAAAAAATACATTTCAGGCCCTGGCCAAGTAGCTCAGTTGGTTAGAGGATCATCCTGATAAGCCAAGGTTGCGGGTTTGATCCCCAGTCAGAGCACACTCAAGAGTCAACCAATGAATGCATAAGTAAGTGGAACAACAAACAAAGAGATGCCTCTTTCTCTCTTTCTCTCTCTCTCCCCCTTCCTCTCTGTCTCTAAAATCAATACATAAAAAATAATAATGCATTTCAGACAAAGTTCAGGTCCTCCTTGACTCTACCCTCGTCATTTCCTGACTCCTGAGAGATACCCACTTTTATGCATTTGATATAAATCCTCGCATCTTTTTTTAAAAAGTAGTTTTTTTACATATAATGTGCCCATAGGAAATATATTGTATTGTTTTAGGAGGGTTTACATAAAGGACTTCATTCTCTCAGTAACTTGGATGTTTTTGAGATCTATCCACATTGAGTCACAGAGATCTAGCTCATTGCTTTTAAAATGCTATAGTATAATATCTGATTCTTCAATCATTTTATTTTGATGAGAATTAGGTTGTTTTCATTTTTAAAATGTTAACCAGTGCTTCAGTAAATACGCTTGTATTTGCCTCTACACACATGTGCATGTGTCTCTCCAAGGTTAACACCTAGAATAGAAATGCTGGGTTTCACAAGATAGGCATACTTTAAATTTTGATAGATATTGCAAAAGAGGGGGTCTCGATTTATACTTTCAGCAACAATGTATGAAAGAACCTGCTTCTGTCACGCTCTCCCAAATAGTGTATTATCAGCTGCTATTTATAATAATAATACTTTCTCAGGACCATGCATGCTATTCTTGTAATTCTGTGACCTCATTTTGATTTATTGATTGATGAGCTTGTATCAGCTTGTCACTATGAACCACTGACCAATTGTTGTTTTCATATGAGTTTAGCAACAACAACATTTAGGCAATTGCTATAAAGGTGATTCTGAATGTGAATTCAGGCTGGAAAGCCAAAAATCATTTTTTAAAGCCACCAAATCGTATTGGCATGTCTGCCATGTCTCCCTTAAGAAGCTACAATGGGAAGAGCATTAGGTTAGGAGCCTGGGGATTTGTGTTCTGTTCTCAGCTCCAGCTGCGATCATTCTGGCCCTCAGTCTGAGCCTCGGTTTCCTCATCTGCCATGTCATAGGGATTATAAGACCTCCAAGGGCTCTTGAGAGCCTTAGATTCTATCAAAGTATGCAAGAGGAAGCTTGCTTTAAAAATCACATTTTATAAATTCATAGCAAATAAAAAAAACAAGACTCCTTTTTCCAGGAACGAGCAAATGATTCACTCTGGAAACTCAAGCTGCAGGTTGCCAGCATTTCCCAGAGCTGGATTCTTTGGCGTTTTCTCCACCCTTTTATCTCAGGAGCGATGGCATCCGTTTTTCACAGAAAAGCTTGCTGAACTTGAGTCCAGAGCTCTTTCTACCAAATCAGACCATGCCATCGCCCTAACCCACATCACCCCTCACCCCACCACCTGCACCCCCCTCACGTAGAGTCAGCTTTCCACCCCAACCATGATCACCTACGTAGAATCATCCGAAAGACCCCTAACACCATATACTTCCACCAGTGGGTTCCCCGTTCCTGCATCCCAGCCGCCAAAGAGCTTCAACTTTGAAGGTTTTAAACATGAAACGCCCTCATTCTTAATTTAGAAAATGAAAATAAAATTTCATATCAAGCTGGCAAATTTCAAACTCAGTGCTCACGAGGCCACATCAAGCAAATGTTAAAATGCACACACTCTCTAGACCCAGATTCCAGCTACCACTGAATGTGGCGCAGACGACACAGACGAGCCGTTTCTTTCCTCATACTCACACGTGACATTCAGCACCACTGAGACAGCCACCGACTGGTCCCTCTGCAGCTTGCAGGTAAAAGTGACTCCATTGTCATTTTCGCTGATGGAAGACACGCAGACGGCGCTGGAATTGACCGTGTTTTCAGACTTCAAATCCACTGCGCCCCCTTCCCGGTACCAGAGGAGTCCCTCGTCCCCGGTGTGGTCTTGAACAGCGCAGTTCAGAGATTCTTCGGAGCCAAGCTGAGTGTTCAGAATATAGTTCTCGCTTTTACCATTCACAGTTAACACAGAGCCTGGGAGTGCAGGAGAGACGCTGTTAGACAGTGACCAGCCCTGGCCAGTGTGGCGCAGCTGGTTGGGCTGCCGGTTGAACTCCCGGGCGGGGCGCATGTCCCAGGGTAGGGGCCCCGTCCCCCGTGGGGGGCATGCAGGAGGCAGCCGACCCACGTTTCGTTCTCACCTCAATGTTTCTCTCTCTCTCTCTCTCTCCCTCTTCCTTCCTCTCTCTCAAAAAATTGATAAAAAAATCTTTGAAAAAAAAGATAGAGTGAACCATCTAAATGACCATAAATGTTATAGCAGTACAAGGAAACACTTCGCAACAAATTAAAATATTCGTAGCAGCCTGTATGATCTTACAAGGAAAAGGGATTCATAATGCCTCATCAACTGAAAAAAGGAAATGCTTAAAATGATGGTCACCAAGTTTTGCTGCACGTTGGAATCACCTGGAGATCTTTGAAAAGGTTGCTTGTGCCTTGCTCCCAGCCCCAGATATTCTTATTAACGGATAGGAGTGCAACCTGGGCCTTGGGATTTTGAAAAGCTGCCAGATTACTCTAATGTGCAGTGAAGTTTGAGAACCCCTGGGTTAGAAAACAGTATGTACAGTCACTCCATTCACACACACACACACACACACACACACACACACACACACACACACACACANTAGACCCAGATTCCAGCTACCACTGAATGTGGCGCAGACGACACAGACGAGCCGTTTCTTTCCTCATACTCACACGTGACATTCAGCACCACTGAGACAGCCACCGACTGGTCCCTCTGCAGCTTGCAGGTAAAAGTGACTCCATTGTCATTTTCGCTGATGGAAGACACGCAGACGGCGCTGGAATTGACCGTGTTTTCAGACTTCAAATCCACTGCGCCCCCTTCCCGGTACCAGAGGAGTCCCTCGTCCCCGGTGTGGTCTTGAACAGCGCAGTTCAGAGATTCTTCGGAGCCAAGCTGAGTGTTCAGAATATAGTTCTCGCTTTTACCATTCACAGTTAACACAGAGCCTGGGAGTGCAGGAGAGACGCTGTTAGACAGTGACCAGCCCTGGCCAGTGTGGCGCAGCTGGTTGGGCTGCCGGTTGAACTCCCGGGCGGGGCGCATGTCCCAGGGTAGGGGCCCCGTCCCCCGTGGGGGGCATGCAGGAGGCAGCCGACCCACGTTTCGTTCTCACCTCAATGTTTCTCTCTCTCTCTCTCTCTCCCTCTTCCTTCCTCTCTCTCAAAAAATTGATAAAAAAATCTTTGAAAAAAAAGATAGAGTGAACCATCTAAATGACCATAAATGTTATAGCAGTACAAGGAAACACTTCGCAACAAATTAAAATATTCGTAGCAGCCTGTATGATCTTACAAGGAAAAGGGATTCATAATGCCTCATCAACTGAAAAAAGGAAATGCTTAAAATGATGGTCACCAAGTTTTGCTGCACGTTGGAATCACCTGGAGATCTTTGAAAAGGTTGCTTGTGCCTTGCTCCCAGCCCCAGATATTCTTATTAACGGATAGGAGTGCAACCTGGGCCTTGGGATTTTGAAAAGCTGCCAGATTACTCTAATGTGCAGTGAAGTTTGAGAACCCCTGGGTTAGAAAACAGTATGTACAGTCACTCCATTCACACACACACACACACACACACACACACACACACACACACACACACACAATTCTATCTGTATGGAATAGCATTGATACAAATAGAGAAAAAAGTGGAGAAATACTTGCCAGATTGAACTTGTTTACTTCAAGGAGTTGAATGTAGCAAAGTAAGGGGGTGGGGGTGGGGAAATACAAAGGAAAAAAGACTATAGTAAAATGAAAAAAGTAGTTAAGACGTAGCGTGAGGCCAACAGGCAGAATGTAAATTGCATCTCTAATAATTATAAATATGTCAAAAATGCGTATGGCCAAAAGCTGACTTGAAAACATTCCTGATTAGAAGATGGAATTTGCTCTTCCATGTCTGATGTTTCCATATTGTGTTGGCAGTGCAGTGAAATACAACAATGTCGACACTGCTGTGATTCGCGGGATAGACAAGTTGTTGTGGGGCAGATGATCAGGATACATAGCACTTTGTTTTCGCCTCTTATTTTTAGAAACATCCATGTATAGGAACATACCGAAATTTCGGTCCTTGTTTTCTGGGTTCAGAAGCAAGTAACAAAAGGTAAAAAAATGACTTTAGCCACCAGAAACTTGGCCCCTACGTAACAGTTGTGAATATAGCCTGTAAACACATGCACTTTTTCTTTAAAAAAACATAAACTATTGGAAAAAATAATGAGATTGTTGCCTCGGTTTCATTTTTGTTTTGTTTTGCTTTTTAATCTGGAAAACTGTACACCAAAACGTTGAATGGCTTATGTTTGGGTGATGGGATTTGGGGGGATTTTTACCTTTATCCTTTTATATACTTCCCAATTTATTTTTTACAACAACTATGTGTTACTTTTCAAATTGAGGGGGAAAGCTACTTCCAGATCGGGGTGGGGAGCAAACCCAGGAAAGATTTTCGTGTGAGTGGTATGTTCAAATAAACACCGGAAGACTATTTTCGATACGATTAGTAATAAAACGCATTAAAATGTAGAAAAATTCTGGCTGTGGCTCTGGAGAGAATGAAACACTTCCCCCTGCTTATACTATGAGGACCTGCTATCTGCCACCTGCACTCTGAACCATACCAACCAGATAGTCATTCCAATTTGGATTTTGGAGTTTTCCAATGGCCATCGATCATTTTTTTTTTTTTTAATATATCTTTATTGATTTCAGAGAGAGGAAAGGAGAGGGGGAGAGAAATAGAAACATCAATGATGAGATACAGTCATCGATCGAGCTCACAACCCGGGCATGTGCCCTGACCGGGAATCGAACCCTGATCACCTGGATCCTAGGTTGACGCTCAACCGCTGAGCCACGCCCGGCCGGGCATCATGGATCATTTTTGATCAGAAAGTTTTCTTTATTTAAAGAGGCAAAAGAAGATAAACTTACTTGTCATTTCGTGTGGCAGAAATAAAACCACTGAGAGCAGAAGTCTGCACGTTTGCAGCAGGCCGCCGCCCCTCCGTGCCATCCTGAATGGGCCGGCGCTGGCTCTGCGGGGGGAAGAGTGCAGTTGTTCTGTACTTTGGGCCACACTGAGTTTATGAGCAATGCACTTACAGTAAAGTCCCAGGTGAGTCACCCCAGTTATAAGGCTACTATTTCTAGTTTTCAAACAATACCATTCTGGCTGCTAAGTTCAAAGTGCTTTCGGTTTTAAAACATTTTTAAAGCCCTGACCGGTGTGGTTCAGTGGTTAGAGCATCAGCCGTCCCACCCAAGGGTCTCCGGTTCAATCCCCAGTCAAGGGCACGTACCTGGGTTGCAGGTTCGAGCCCGGCCCCAGTCAGGGCACGTGCGGGAGGCAACCCATCAATGCGTCTCTCGCACATCGATGTTTCTCTTTCTCTCTCCCCTCCCTGCCTTCCACTCTCTCAAAAAATCAATGGAAAAAAATATCTTCCAGTGAGGATTAACAAAAAAAACCTCCACAAAAACATTTTTTAAAACAACAACAAAAAATCACAAGGAAACAGGCTGTAAGATTTCGGGCAGCTCTAGGGCAGCCCTGGGGAAGGTAAAACCAGCCTTCCCTAGAGAAAGTGAACACGTGTCATTTTCACAGAAAGGGAAATGAAACTTGTTTCATTCTTAGACGGTCCCTACTTGAACAAAGTAAATCTTGTTTTGAAAGCCTCTCTTCGGTCATTACTGTAAAGTTGCTCTCTGCTAACAGAGAGTTTTTTGAAACTATTCCAAATTCGGTAGATTCAAACGGTTTGTACCTTAGGAAAGAGTCAATCGCAGCACCTCTGGCCTCTGGTCTGAAACCGTGTTAACCCCGGCTCCCCCCCGCTCTCCCCTCGTGATATTCCTTCCCCTTCGCCTAGTGTGGACTGAAAACAATGAATAATAAAGGCCGCCTTTTCTGTGCTTTGCTGTTGCCATCCCTCTCCCTAAAATATTTTCCATTTCCATCTAGGGAAAAACATGTATTTACGACTTCCTTGCCAGGGCACCACTGTGAACATAGTAGAAACACACATGAAATGCTGTCTATGGGACAGATCCTGTGCCAGACACTTTACACACATTATTTAAACCTCCGTTAAGTCCCTCAGGATGCTCATGAGGTCATTTCTAAAGGTTTGGAGAGATTATGTCATTTCTCTAAGATCCCAAGGGCAGTAAATGTCAGGGTCTGGATTTGAACCCAGGACTCCCGAGGCTATGCTCTTAACCACTCTGCTGCCTAGATTAATATTCTCTTTCTTTAAGAAGCTTCTGTGGCCCTGGCTGGATAGCTTAGTTGGTTAGAACATTGTCCCGATAGGCCAGGGTTGGGGGTCCGATCCCTGGTCAGGGCACACACAAGGATCAACCAATGATGCATAAATAAGTGGAACAACAAATCGATGTTTCTCTCTCTCTCCCTAAAAAAAAAACACATAAAGAAGAAGCTGCTGTTAATCCCTCTAGTCCCTGACTACGCCACAGACCTTAGCAACTTGTCCCCATCCCAGGCCTGTCCTGACAGGAGCAAGTTTCGTTCCTGCCAGGCTCACCCCTTCTGGCTGATAAGCCTGCACCAATATTTCAATAAGATACACTTAGTACTAATATAGATTCTTTTGTAATTTTACAATGTTGCCAAGAAGATTTCTATGACAGCGTTGTAAGAGCAATGATTTCAGAATTTGGTCACGAACGGAGTTTTCTCCAGCGCTGCTCACAGTAGGTGCTCGATAGAAACTGAAAGTTCCCTTCTTAAGGAGGAAGGTTGAGTTCTCCCCTTCCCTGCCACCCCGCCACCACGGCCACTTCTCAAAACGCATTTCCCTCCCTCCACACCTTTACCACTTACCTGCTGAGCTCTGGGAGGCTGGCTGCCTTGGCCAGTTGTTCCTGTGGCGGAGAACCCCGAATCCTTTCCCTGTTGCCATCTTTATAATACCTGAAATTGAACACTTTATGACAGTAGGTCAAGTAAATAATTAAATTGGGTTCAAAGTCTGTTTCTCTTTATGGATTCTTAGAGAAGACAGTAATTAGGAAAGACATCTTCTTAAGATCGAAGTGTTTATGTACATATACCTAAGTTACTAGGTGGGACCAGACATTACTAACAGGGATGTAACTGCTCCAAGAAAGCCCGAGCTCATCTCACTGAACACTGTCATGCTCAAGCTAGGTGACTGTGCTTTGATAATCTGACAGCCTGAGAGCTGTGATGGGGTAAGTGTAAAGAGAGGTTTGATTTTCACAGCGGACAAAACATTGGGAGATTTCACACAACCTAAATAATGCTGGGAACGTATTATTTCCCACCGGTAACCCAAAGCCAGTGTAAGCTGTACCAAGCCAGCCACGGCAGGGGCAAGTTCTAACCCTTCGGAAGCCTCACCTGATGGGGCAGACCTGGCATTACAATTTCAAGGATTAGGAACTGAGCATAACCATACTTTACCGGTTAAAAAGTACATATGTTTATGGTATTGTTTCAATGTGAATTTTATCTGGCTAGCAAGTACTATTGTCCCAATTATACAAGAATAGAATAAAAGACTATTTGCGTTTATTTGCCCATTTTAACACATTGATTAAGCACATCAGAGACCTGCTTCTGACTAGCTGTGTGACTCCAAAAGTTAGTTAACCTCTATGAGCCTCAGGTTCTTTGTCAATACAATGGGAATAACAATGCCCTCCCTACAAAGTCACTGTGAGGCCTGCATGAAATAGAGCATGTGAAGGGCCACACAGGAAATCCTTAATAAGCAGTAACTGTTGTTATGATTAATGTGGGCTGGGCAGGGCATAATAAATCAACACCGCCTCTCTATAGCAGTGTTCCAGTGAGAATCACAGCTCAGAGCAGTTCCTGATGACTGGGCTGCAAGCACCATCCAAGCAGGCTTGAGTTCGCTTCTCTGCGGTGCTAAGGGCAGGTAGTTTAATATTATCATTTTTTTTTTTTTAATATATCTTTATTGATTTCAGAGAGAGGAAAGGAGAGGGAGAGAGAGAGACAGAAACATCAATGATGAGAGAGTCATTGATCAGCTACCCCACAACACGAGCATGTGCCCTGACCGGGAATCGAAACCCGATCGCCTGGATCCTAGGTCGATGCTCAACCGCTGAGCCACTCCCGGACGGGCAATATTATCATTTTTAAATGAATGGATGTCTTGGTTCTGGGTCCCTCCAGAGTAGACCGTAAGACCAAGCTTCGTCTGCAAATAGTTTCTTTAAAGCTGATCTCAGGAAGCACAGTAAGGAAGTGAGACAGGGGAGGGAGGAAAACCCATAAAGGGTGTGACAGGTTACTGCCGGGGGCAACTGTGTGTGAAACGCACCTCAGAATCAACTCATGAGGGCGAAGGAAGCGTGGGTGTTCACCCACCGAGGTCCCTCCATCACCGGCCCAGGGACGCTCTCCGAGCGTTGTGGGCTCCCCAGCACCTCCAGCCTGCCCTGTGAGGGCAGGGGGCACTCTGTCCGTCCACCAGTGAATGTGTAGGCGAAGGCACTCAGGAAGTCACCTGATACATAGCAACTGCTTACGGATGACCTCTAGGCTGGCAACAGGCCGTGGGAGGGCAACAACATCTACTTCTACAATCGGATATTATATGGTTTTAGGAAATAATGGTTAATTATTCTTCCGTGTGGCAGGTAACAGTATTGCAGTTATATAGGAGAGCGTCCTTACTCTTTGGAGATGCTTGCTGAAATATTTATGGGTTAAATGTCATGATTGAAATGAACTTTCCAGTGATTCAGCAGAAATAAATACACATGCACAAAGCAAATATAGCAAAATATTAACATGCCCAATCTAGAATCTAGATAAGGTTAAGTAAATATTCATTATACTATTTCAACTGTTGGGAGAAGGTATTTAGTGATTTTTATTGTGTATCCTTTATGTGGTGACTACTCAAAGCATTAGAGGTGCTGTGTCATCTAAGCCAATACGGCGTCTTTATCATGAATTAATAGAAGACTTGGGTTCTCAAGTCACTCTACCGCCCTCTGCGGAAAACTGTTTTAATACCTTTATAAATCTATGGTGTTTACAAGATGAATGGTGCTCCCCGAATCCCACAACAGTATGTGGTGCCCTGGGAGGTACAAAAGTGAGTGAAACAAAGCTCCTGTTCTTCAAGCGCCTTCCATCCTAGAGAGGAAGATGGATGGTCGGGAGCCAGCTATAGTGCACTCTGCTGGGGAGGGATTTCAGGTTTTAAAAATGGTATCATGGCGCCCCTTCTGGAAAAGCGAAGAAGTGACCACATTTGTCCAAGGTCACAAATCATCCCTGGAACATTCTACTTTTCTAGAACTGACTGAGAGGAGAAACCACTTCTCCACAAGTAGTTAAGCCTAGGAGTTAACCATTAAGCCTAAGCTGGTTGGCTGGTTGGAGTATTAACAGATCCCAGTACCTCACGTCTTCCACAAGTAGTTCAGGCCCAGAGAGGAGAGAGGCAGCCTCGAATCTGGAAACTCCTGGGGGTAGAGACCAATCTGTTCCACATCAGGCTCATGCACATCTGGACAGAGAAGGAGCTCCAACAACTGGCAGCCACGGTGTTCTGATTTAAGTGAACGTAAGCAGCTCTGGGGAGTCTCCAGGCACCTCTCCTTCATTAGTTCTGATGAGGCTCAGAAATCTCATCCTTAACAACCTACCAGGTGTGACTGACACAGTGGTCCAGGAATCTCATTTTAAGAACCACAGGGCTACAGGACTAAGCATTGGTGAGGGTCGTAAAGGCAGAAGCCCCCGAGCTAAGGGGAAGCGCCTAGCACAATGCCTAGTGCGTGGTGGGTACTGAAGAAACATTAGTGGAAGGGAGGGAGGGAGGAAGGAAGGAAGGAAGGAAGGAAGGAAGGAAGGAAGGAAGGAAGGAAGGAAGGAAAGAAGGAAAGAAGGAAAGAAGGAAAGAAGGGAAGGGAAGGGGAAAAGAGTCACAGCCTTCGCATCTGCTATCACAAGCTGATGTAACGGAGGCAGCTGCTCAG